ACATTTCCATTTATTCCTTCAGCATGCTTTGGACAGCCCCTCGGTACTGTTTTCCACTTGAAGAGCTAACTGATGATAATTGTATTCTGTTTCTCCTTCCTGAGCTAATTTTCTGACTCATTGTGGTTTTTTCTTCTGCTTGCTTTTTGTTAATCTAGTTGGCATTTTGTGGTTTCTTTGTTCATTATGCGATGGGGCTATATAAGGGGATTTGTCTCTGGAATTCAGGTATCCCCTGCGCTGTGTTCTCTGTTATCGTCTTCATCAGCAACTATGCTGAAGGCAGTTAGATGCATTTGGCATGAGCTAACCTTAATAAATCTGGGTTGTTAATCACTCAGACATGTCTCTGTTGGATCCCTGCATACTGATTTGTGTGTGCTCAAATAGTTTCTCTGGAGTAGACTTCTGGTAACTCAGTGTTTCAGCAGTCTGCCTTCCAAATTCACACTCAGGGCCTCGCCCCCCGGGGCTTTGCCTGCCAGGGACGGGTCCCAGTCATCTGCCCACTGCTGTGGGATGATGAGGGCTCTGGGGATGGCACAGGCTTCCCGGGGAGGCTCTCCTCCCGCCCCACGCTCCTGTCGGCCCCCGGCCTGGGGTGCCACAGCGCCGGGCTGCAGGGAGCCAACCTTGCCAGGGCAGGGCTCTGAGCACAAAACCCTCAGCAGCCAGCACAGCCCCGCGGGGAGCGGGGGGATACACCCCGCGGGGAGTGGGGGGATACACCCCGCGGGGAGCGGGGTCCCGTGTTTGGAACCTCTCCCTTGGTCCTGTTGATCTCGGACACCAGGCTGCCTCCGGCGCCCCTCAGGAAGCCGTTCCCACAGGTGAGCGCCATGGCTGAAGACAAATTCATGAATGTTTAAGCATCTATTAGCCTGCTGAGTTGGCTCAGACCTGGACTTGTTTCAGCAAAAGCAGAATTTCTTAGATTCTCTTTCCTAGGCCTGGGCTAGGTAAGTCCTCTGAGTGCTGCAGCAAGCCTAGCACCTGCCAGCCAGCAGAGATGTGATCTGCTGCCCAAGTCAAACAACATAGCTCAGTTTATTTAGGTTTTTTATGTTGTGCATCCTATTATTTGCCTAAATGCTGCTGAGAGAGTGCTGCTGTGTTAGTCAGGGCATCCTCAAGTGATACAAGAGCCTCGAGGCAATGGGCAAAGCGTGCGAGGCTTTGAATCTCATTGAGGCATTGATAATTACCAGTCTAGATAGCTAAGCTGTTACGAAGATGCGATACACTCAGCTCTTACATCATGCCCATTTAGGGGAGAAAAATTCAGCAATGAAGAGATGATACAATTGACAGATCCAAGGAAAACCAGCGAGGTTATTTTTCACATCAAGAGATGGTGAACTGCATCGATGGGATTATGAAGAGAGACCCACTCCTTTGGCATGAGGTCTTTGATTCCTCCAGAAGATTATGCGGCTGTTTAAAGAAAGAAGGGGGGAAAAAACAACCTAAGAAATATTAAAGATGAACTCAACACAAGGTTAAGAGACTTGTACTTCACCCACAGGCACTAGGCATGACAGGGGCTCACAGACCAACTCTCCTATCACAGGGCAGGTACCACTCCAGGCTTTGCTTGCTGCTTCCCAGAAATTTGGCTGTTTCTGAGGAAACCAGTGGCCAGTCTGTACCAGCATTCTTGGACAAACATCTGAAGAAACTATTGAAAATTTCTACCTATCCATCTTGCACTGTGAAACAGCCCTGGGGATGGGATTTAATCCCCAGCTTGGCTCATACCCCAGAATTTGCCAAGTGAGGCAGATTTCATTTCAGAGAGCCATAGCTTAATATTTCTCATGGAAGGTATCAGTGTTAGCACTGTTGCTATGGTTATTTCATAGAAGCCCAAGGTGCAATATGTACGCTGAAGGAGAACATAGAAATATCTCTTTAGAAACTGTGAGGTTTGTGGGCACAGCAGCCTATGGAAAGGCACACGGAGGGTGGCAGGTGAGCACGGGGCTGTCGCTTGGGCGTTGGGTCACGCACAGCTCCCTGAGCTGTGCCAGAGCTTCGGGGGGAACAGGATAGAATTTCCCACCTTCTGATGTTTCTTTCTGAAATGCTTACTTTGCAGGCGTTACTCAAAGACCCCTGGAAAGTTTTGTCCAGAGCAATAAAAGAGCAAATTAAGAATACGCTCATCCACGGTGAAATTTTAGGTGAGTGTTTTTGCTAAACTCTGCATGGTTTTCGGGTGACACCAGTAGTGTTTTTCATGAGTGCCTGTGCGAACCAGCTGAGTAACTGTGAGCAGCAAATGAGGCCGTGAATCTCAGCTCGGCGAGCCCTGCGGCCGCCTCAGCGCTGGTGGGAGCTGCTGGCGCAGGTCACCGGGCGCCGCGGCGCTGGGCACACGGGGGGCTCCTCCTGCTCCTCCTTTCTACCTATTACTTGGCGTGAATCCTGTTACCTGCTGGCAAACAGTGAGTTTAAACGTTGTTCTCTGAAGGGGCCCTGCGAGAGCATGACAGGGACGTTCAAGAGCCCAGATCAAGTCCTCCAGCTCCAGAGCGAGCGCCGGGGGGTCTCAGTGCCGGGGGTCTGTCCCCCCCTCTCCCAGGCCAGGTCCTGTGTGACTCCACGCTTTACCCAACTGTTGCTTAACTCTCTCTTCTGCTGATTTTTCATCCCTGTCCTGGACTCTGAGAGGCAGGGGTGCTTTTTCCAGTGTTTCCTTTTTTTTCTTTCCTGTGCCCATACAGCACGGCACCTCCCAGGCTTTCCGTGGCCATCTCCCAGTTTGCCCCGAGATTGCCATCACTCACATTTCCACTCTCTAAGGAAACTTTCCAGTCCCTGGGACAAGCCCATCCCCTGTACCTTATGAGCATGGCTCATTTACAGCCTCAGCTTGTGCCAAAAGCTTGTACTATAGCAACCAAAGGATGAAGGATGCTGAGTTTTGCGGTCTTTGGGAAAAAGACTCAAACTTCTGCAGATATGTCAGTGGAAATGGACTGCTACACTTCTGTAGTAGAAACCATGAACTTCATGCTGACATCCACCTTTCTACAGGGAGTAAATACCATTTTATTAAAGTGGAATACATGGTAGTTTGAGGGTTGTTCAGTAAAAGCTGGTGAGTGAGGAACAGTAAAAAGGCAAATGTCAGCTTATCTTAATAGTTAATAGAGGTGATGCTCATTAATTAGAGATGCTTTTAACAGTTTGAAAAAAATCACAGTGATGTTTTTCAACTGAAAATGGACCCTGCTCTACACAGACAGGGCAGTGCCTGCACCCCCGTGGCCGGCTGCTTTAAATTCCCATCTTCAAAAACTGTTAGTTTCCAAGTGCAGGGCCTCAGGGATCGTGTGTTCATCCCCCTCTGCTGCTGCTCCTTGTGTCGATGTTGCTCCTTGTGTCTCACTGTGCAAATGGGGAAAGAAGTCAATCCCTACTTTCCCTTCTTTGGTCTCTCTTACCCTTCCCCAGGAGGGTGGTGGGTGCACATCCCCGTCCCTGCCAGCAACCCGCGTCCCCCCACCGCCTCCTCGGGCAGAAGCTCAGCCCAGGCTATGGCCAGGGTAGACTGGGATAACCCCAACCCCGAGCAGCCTTTAAACTGCTGAAAACCACCCCCTGGTCTTCACCAAGCAGACAAAGCCCGAGCCCTCGGCCGTTCCTCGCAGGACATCCCTTCCAGCCCTTCACCACCTTTGTTGCCCTCCTCTGGGCATGTTCGAGGACCTTCACATCCCGCTTAAACTGTGGGGCCCAGAGCTGCTGCTCAAGGTGAGGCCGCACAGTGCTGAATACTCCTTATCCAAAGGAGTTCGTTTGGGTTTTTGTGATGAGTGAGATGTTTCCCTGTGAATTTCAGGTCTGAGGAGCAGAGAGTAACCACCCCGGCTGGTCCGTACCGGAGCCCCTCCGCCACCATCGCAGCACGTACAGTCACCAGCCCCGAGCTTTGAAGGATCACCCAGGAACTGTGCTCGAAACACACACAGCTTTATTCTGCAAAGGACTTGCAACTACTCAACCCAAATCCTGGATGGGTAAGTAAGTAATAAATATTTTCCCATCTTTTGGCTGTCTTCTCCAAGTAAGAGAAGTCCCCTGCTCAAGCTCAACCAGGGAAGCTGAGAGGAGAACTTTGGCCTCTCTGGTCTTGGTGCAAGTTTTAAGAGGGATGGTATGATGGCAAAAGGGACATCGCTGGCCAGGCCAGGAGGTCCTCCCAGTTCCTGCCCCGCAGCATCCCACCACTGCTCCATGCTGCTGAGAAATCACTGATTTCTTTCTGCCTTTAATGTCTCTTTTCCATGTTGGTTTTTTTTTTCTCTCTTACGTACTAAATCTTTCTTTTGTTCTGCATCCTCTTTTTCACCCTACTCCCAAGTGTAGCTAAATTAAACTGCATTTTTCTTGGGACTGTAAACTAAACCTTCCCTCTTGGTCTGAGTCAATTCCATTGCTTAAGTGAAACTCTTTTTTTTAATAAGCAATTACTAATTACAGAGCATGATTTCATTCTTCGGGTTAATGAATGCTACAGCCCTGATGAAATATTTCGTGGCCTTTTGTTTAGCGCCAGTGTAGGTTTATTTCCTGAATTAATACCTTTACAATAAAAACAAACAGAAATTCTCAATGGATTAAGTTAGTCCGCCTGAGGCTGCCGCCACCGACACGGCGCGTGTTCCCGTGTTCCCGCTGCCCTTGCCCGGGGCTGGTTTTCCGCCGCGGCAGAGGGAGGGCTGGGACAGAACCGGGGCAGGGGGGAGGATGAGCAGCACCGTCTGAAGGGGGAATTGCTACTGACTGACCTTTTCCTCTGCGGGGAGGCTTTGGTATAAATTACCTGGGGAAACTCCATGTGAGCAGAGTCAGGCTGGATGTCCAAGTCCTTCCTTCAAGCACAGGTCAGAACCGGTCCCTTCCTGCTGCCCGCAAAGCCCCCGTGTCGGGACAGCCCCAGCAAAGACAGAAACCCCACACCCGCCGCGAGTAATAAGATGAGGAACCCCGGTCCCTGGAGCTCCGTGTCCCCCACACAGACGCCTGTTCCCTGGACCTGCTGCAGCTGCGGGCTCGCAGGGAGGGTCCTTGCGCGCCTCCGCTCCCACTGCACAGAGTAAAGGGGCTGCCACCGTCCTACAAGTCCCAAGTCAGTATAAAGATGCCAGAGCAGCAACGTGGGTTCCCAAGGAGAAGCTGGGGGGTGCCCTTTGGTACCCACTGGATCCAGCGAGCTCACCTCGGCCCTTGGGCTCACAGGTCGGTGTTGGCCGTCTGGGTGTTCATGGTGGAGCAAAGGGTCTGCGAGGCAGGTCCCTTCCTGTACCTGGGCTGCTCCATCCACGCCTCGCGGCAGGACGCAGCCGCGGGCAGCAGCGCGTTGTCCTGAGCCCCAGGCACCTTGTGGCACATACAGAGCAGGGACTTCAGCTCGGATCTGAAGCTCTCGTTCAGCCAGCAGTAGATGAAAGGGTTGTAGCAGGTGCTGCTCATGGCAAACCAGTGCAGGGCGAAGTAGAGGGAGTTCTTCGTCTTGATGCCCAGGCTGGAGATGAGCACCACGTAGCAGTTGAGGGGGAACCAGCAGACAGCAAAGACCACCACCACCAGCATCAGCATCTTGATGCTCTTCTTCTTGTTCCTGTGGTGGGTGATGTACTGCTGCGTGGTGATGTCCCCAATGGCATTGCGGAGCCACAGCTTCTTGGCCAGGCGCGTGTAGGTGACAGTGATGATCAGCAGAGGCAGGAGGTAAAGAAGGAGGAAGGTAGAGAGGTCCAGATACTTCCAGACCAGCTCTGCGGGCTCAGGAAAATCAGGGAGGCACAAACTCCGGACAGTGGCTTCCCTTGAAAAGCAAAGAAATACACACCTAGCACATGGCCAGTGCTGTGCACGTGGAAGCTGCTAATGTGGCAAACCACAGCGGGGCTCCTGCGCCACCTATAACCGCCACCTCAGATTTGTGTGACAGGCGGGGAGGGACAGGTATCACCCATCTCAACGAAACAAAGCTCAGCCAAGCCCCCGTTTCCCAGGAAGTCTTCTCATTATGTTCGCTGTGTCCGTCTCACCCAGGGTAAGTCTGGCTACTGTGTATTGGTATCTCCTTTCCCTTTAAATTGTTGTGTTGGCTAATCAAAGAAATTCTTAGAAAGACAAACTGGAGTTTTCTCTTAGAATTTGCAGTTGATTTTAATTGAGCCAGACCCTTGTGTCCCCTTAATGTGGCGGAAGTGGCACTGACGGCTCATTCTCAGGTTGCTGTAAAGCAACACTGACCTGGCCGCATCTGCCCGGGCACAGCAACGCCTCCCCAGAAACCCAGCGCAGGAGGAGAGAGGGCGGGGGCTGAGACCCACCTAACTCCTGCTTTCCCACAGCCCCACGGGTGATCCCTGCACGCCTAGAGAAAGGGCACGTTATGCCCAGGATTCCCTGAATGTGCCCACCCTAAATCCAGCCCGGGATGTGTTACTCCTCTTGGGTGTGGACTACACGAGCCGCTGTCTGGCCAAGCCCAGTGAGCCTGGGATGCTGGGACTGACCAGTGCTGACCTGTGCCCCCAAGCAGGGCAGGAGCCCCTTGGCCAGAGCGGAGACTGCTGCTGGGGAGTTACGGATGTCAGGGGAAGAGGGTGCTGGGGGCATGGACCCCCCTGCACAGGCAGCACTTCCCTTTCCCTTTCCCTTCCCCTTCTGCTTCCACCAGCTTTTCAGGAGACCAGCTGTTAAAACCTTATTGCTACATCTTAAAACAGGCATGATTATTAGAAAAACTGGTCGCTTCACTCAAGTTTAACTTAAGCCTGACAGTTTAACTTCTGATGGTTAACTAACACAAGAGCTGACTTTAACTACAAGCGATAGCTTATTTTAACAGCACAGTCTGTCCTGTCCAACCCCGCGGATCCAGGCTCTCTTCCCATTTCGGGCCGATGCACCCCAGCACCCTCCACACAGCACCACGTGTCCCCTCCACGTCCCACAGCAGATGTCTGGAAGTGATGAAACGTGAAGAGAAAGGAGCACTCGCATATTTATTTCCACTGGATGTTTTCTCCTTTTCTTTCCTTTTTCCCCCCTTTCTCTTATTCCATTTTGCCCTTCTCTCAACCCTTGTCCTCTGCTCACTTGTGTTCATCACAGACTTCAGTCTCCATCAAGCTGCATTATTCCTTGCAGATTAATATCTTTAATATCCTGTTTTCAACCTCTGGAGCTGGCTTTTGTGCCACAAATAGAAGACTGCTTGAAAACGGACGGCTGCGAGGAGGGGCTGCGCAGGACTGTCAGGGGGATGACAGGTCACAAGCATGGCCAAGCAGGACCCTGGAGATGCTGCTCAGGAGGGGAACTGGTGCAGAAGGGGAAATCATCCTTTCTGAACCACATTCCTGACCTGTCCTGCCCCAGGATTCAGCTGGCTGCTGCCATGGGTGAAGCCAGCCCCTGCCCGCCTGCAAAGCCACGGGGAAAGAGCAGAGGTGACGGGGCAGCCGTGGGCTGTCGTCCCTCACCAACCCACCAGGAATCGGCTGTTGGGGGAACACCTTGAGCTCAGGATGGTGTCTGGGCCGTGGCTGTGGGTGCTGGAGTGCAGCTGAGGATTAGCACGGGTGATACGTTGGTGCTTAAACCCGCGTTTGATGAGAGCAGGCAGCAGCGTGAGCCCACAGGTAACCAAAATCCATGTGCTGCCCTCGGTGCCCCCCTTCCCTCGCACCCTCCGAAGGAGGGCACAGGGCTGTAGGAGAGGCTCACGATGCAATCAGGGAAGAGGCTGGCTGAGAGCAAAACCGGACAGGACGCTGTGTTTTGGTAAATTGTAGTATGAATGTGGACTTGGCCACACTGCCAAGAGGTTTGATGCTGGTGGAGCCCATCTCCTCCTGTCCCAGAAGCCCAGCAGCTCCCTGGGGGGACTCTCAGCAGCCCCTGGCCCCGCAGGAGCTATTACGAGCAATATTACAACTGTAGTTTTTATTCAATGGAAGGCAGGGATGAGAATAGCTCGTCCTGGAAGTCCTTATATCGCCGAGCTGCCTCATGCCGGCACGAGGCTCGGTTTCCTCCGGCCACGCTAAAGGATGAAGGCAGACAGGTGCCACGAAACAGATAGCGGCATTTGTTCATTCATGAGCAATTTGTTCAGTAATACCCTGAGCACAGCTGCGAAGCAACGCCAGCGCAGGCGTAACCCAGCACTTTGTTTACAGTCTAAGCAGTGGAAGATATTGTATCCCCTGCAGGGGTGTCTCAGTCAAATCGCTCACAAGCACAAGTAAGGAAGAGCTGTGAAGCCCCAGGTCCCGTCCCGCTTTGCCTATCGTATACACACAGCAATAAAAAGCCGGTGCGGGCAGTCAAACACCCTCCCTGCCATGCCGATGGGCTGTGCTGACATTGTACAGGAGCTCAGTACCTACAACAGAAATCCCCCTCCTGCTGCCTATCGCTGCCCCTGACCCCGCTGCCCGGGCCGACGCTCTCAGGATGAAAATCCCGCTCTCTGTAAGATTATCCCCTCAGCCTCGAGCCTGGCATTCCCGAGAAGTGCAGGCACCGGCCCTGCGACACACACCACGAAAAACCCCCGTCTGTGAAGCTGGACTGTTCCCGAGGCAGGAGGAGTCCTGGCAGTGCCAGGGGCTGGGGGCAGGTTGGGTTCCATGGAGGAACAAAAGACTGCAAGGGCAAACCAACCCAAATCGTCCGGTTCTTTATTTCTCCCTGGTAGAGAGGATGACTTCCCAGCAATGAAGGCCATCACTACACCAGCTGGAAGTGGGGAAGAGGAGCACTTTTTTTCCCCCTCCTTTTCTTTTTTTCCCTTTCTTTTCTTTTTTCCCCTCCAGATCAGAACCTTCACTTTCTTCTGAAACTTCAGCAGTCCTCACATGGATGTGAAATTCCACTTCACCTCCTTGTCATAGCTTCTGCTGTTGTGTTCAGCCAAGCAAAGAGCTCCCTTCACTGCCAGGCAAGGCAGAGCAGCACACTGAGACGACTTTCCTTCCCTGACGAAGCACTGCTCCTCTCACCAGCCCTTCACCGCAGAGGAGGAGGTGGAGGTTTCTCTTTTGCTTTTCCTGCTTAGGTAACACTGGGCAGAGGACCCTCCAGCTTTAAGAAAGGCTGGTCCCATTTCATAAATCCAGATGGACAAAGTACAAGGAAGCTAAAATGAGTCAATCAGCATATGCAGTCTTGGAGATCCAGGGTTCGTGGCTCCTGACTCACAAAGGCACTCCTCTCCTCCCCGTTCTTCCTGTAGAGTCTTGCTAATGCCAGTACCAGCTGTTTCTTTCAAACTGCAGCTTTGGCTCCCTCTTCCCTCCTTGCCTGAGCAAGCTGGCTGGAGATGGTCTTCTTAGGTCCAAGGCGCTGAGCGAGCGTGAGGAGGGGGGAGGAAAGGCCCTCGGGACAAAGCCCGTCCTGAGGGGCTGTGCCTCTGCTGTGGGAAGGGAGATCTCACCCCACACCAACCCACCGACTCCGCCACGTCCCTCCCCAGGCCTGGGAGCCCTTCCAGCAGCTCCCGCCGCTGTCAGCCACTGCCCCAGCGGGCTACCGGGCCTCTTCACGCCCGGAGGGGGAAATAACTCACCTGTAGTGATACTGGAAAAGCTTTTGATAGATGGCGTGGGGTAGGGAGAAACAGGTGGCCATCAGCCAGATCACAGAGATGCTCAGCGCTCCCTTCGTCAGCGACAACCTCTGCTTCAGAGGGTTCAGGATGACCTGCAACAGAGATCTCACCGTGACTTATCGCACGGGAAAACAAAGTCCCTTCACCACAGCAGAGGCATTGTTCGACGTGATCTGATGCTGTTAAGAAAATGACAACCACGATTAGGAAAATGTCCTGCTTATTAGAGTGTGCTGGGAATGGGAAACATTGTACTTTCAGTCTGCTCAGAAGTGCTTTCAAATAAACTTTCTCCTCTATTTTGTTCAGTGAGGACCATTTTCTTTAAATTGTGCGTTAAATTAGGTAGGGAAAAAAAAAAAAAAAAGATATCTACACAAGTTTCTTCACTATGGGTATGTTTGTTTATTCCTTCATAAAGAGTCTCCTGTCCTAGCTGAACCTATGAAGCTGAGCCCTCCACGCCTCTTCTGAGGCATTAACTCACCTTTTATGACATTTCCTTTGTTAGATGAAAACCTGAGACTCTGGAAGATCCTATTCGACTGATAGTAGGGGAGAGAAGAGTGATTGCTAGAGACACACACAGGGCCTGGGCCGCCCTCTCTCCTCTACGTTATTTACATCACGTACCACACAGGAGCTGGCCCAGCCTGGCTGCAGGCAGATGGGGGGCACAGGCCTCTCACAGCTCTAAGTGTCCTCCCAGTGCTTCCCACTCTGACATTGCCCTTTATACTGGTCCAGCATTAGTTCCACAGCAGACTCAGACCAGTTCAGACCCAGAATTTCCTTTCACTCCAATTGTCCTGTGACTTGAAGATGCAGCAAATGCCCAACAAGAAAAGAAGAGCAAAAGAACAAACAGGCAACTGCATCAGAATTTGAGCTCAGGATGCTGCAGCCTGGTGATCTACAGGTTTTGGGTGGTAAACTAAAAAGCCTGGAGAAGTTCCCTGCACAGCTGAAGAAACACGCTGCACTCAGCGTTGGCTCTGCTGCCTTTCAAGCTTCCCCATGTAAAATAAAGCCTCTTGAGTCAACCTGGCTGCAGCACTTGGGGGGCAGGTTGGACCTGGCTCCTTACAACCTACTTGACAAAGATGTCCTCACCCTCTTCCACTGAAAGTCCGGGACTTTGCTGTGAAACCCGTGATGCTGCATTTTGTTTTCTCCCTCCTGCCCCGTACCTGGCAGCCTACAGAAGTCCGTCAAGCCTTCCTACCCCTGACACACGAGGGGCACCTTTGAATTTAGCTCTAGTGCCTTCTTCCTGGATACTCTTGGGTCTAACCCCCAAGATTCAGCCTCCTTGAACCCACGGCTGGACTGAGACTGAGAGGGGCTCGCGAGGAGCCGGGGGGAGCAGCAGGGCAGGTACCTGGTGCCTGTCCAGGGCGATGGCCGTCAGGGTCAGCGTGGAGACGTGGAGGGAGCAGTACTGCACAAAGCGGCTGATGTGGCACATGGCCTTGCCAAAGATCCACGTGCTGTTCACAAACCGAACCTGAGGGGAAGACAGCAGGTCACCAGCCAGCAAATCCACGGGGAAACCTTTGGATTGAGCCTGAGCTGGCACGTGGGTTTTGGCTGGCTGGCTGGGCAGCTCCACCTGAAACCCAAACAAAGATTAGCTACCTTGCATTTCAAAACACCTGTACATAAGAGGTTGTAAGGTCAAACCCCGCAGATTAAACCAGTGGCGGTGTCGCAGCCCTCCTGGCCTCTTTGTATAAACACCATTTGTGAACAGCAGCTGTAACTTTTTGACTCTACTGACAACTATATTTGGAAAAAGCAGGCTGAGTTTTGGTCACATAAACCCCCTCAGGCCTGGAGAGCTTTCACCAAAGACTTTGCCCAACTGGCAGCTCTGAAAAGCTTGACTATATTCTTCCAGTCACCCGAGTATGACTGGCATTCGAGTTGTTTTGACCCACTAAGTTTTAAGTACGGCTCTAGTGCTCTCCTGCATGTACGCCAGAAGTACGTGTTCACCCAGGCATTTACTCTGCATTCCCCAGGAAGCTCTGCTGTGGTTTGGTGGCATACGTGGAAAGACTTTAGAGCCTTTCAGGAGATCCAGAGTCTAAGGGAGGGAAGGGAGCCCCCAGGTTGCTGGGCAGTGCTTTACTGCCTGGCAGAGCCGTCCCCTAGACTTGACTGTGGTGGGTTCATGCCTCAGGCCTAGAAGAGCGTTCCTAGAGAGGGAGGGCGTGAGCACCAGGATTCTGGTGAGCGAGTCCCCTCCTGGCTGAAGGGCCAGCACCGTGGGCCACTTACCAGGGTGAAAGGCGTGTTGAGCAGTGTGATCATAATGTCAGACACTGCCAGGTTGACGATGAAAAGGCTGGTGGCTGAGTGCATCCTCTTGTTCTTCAGCACCACGTGGCACACCAGCATGTTCCCGAAGAGAGACATGATGATGATGACTGAGTACGCCACAATTAGAAGAGCTTTCACTGTTGGTTTCTGGGATTCTGGCTCATATTTAGCCAGCTCAGCAAATTTCTCCCACTCAACAATGCGGCTGTCTGTCCAGTTGAAGGTGGTCCTGTTGGTTGCCTGGTAGATCGACATGAGCTTGGCCAAGGAAGAGTAATGGTCAAAGTCCTGACGAAACCCCACCATCTGTGACCTGTGTGACTGAAGCGGTGAGTGGGACATGGTGGGTGGCTCGAGGCCGCAGGGGTCACAGCTCCAGCTGACAAAGCAAATGATCCATCTGCTCAGCTCTCCAGGAAGCTGGTGAAGATGCAGCTGCCATTAAACCCACCTCAAAACGGGAAGCTGGAGGGAGCCTCCAAAGTGCGGTGGGTTCCCCGGGCAGGGGCAGCACTGGGGAGCGGTTTCAGTGGGAAAGGGGCTGGTTTGGGACCACACGCCCTCAACCCCTGCATACACCAAGAAGAGCAATAGCTCCACAGGCGGGTGGGGAGGAAACACCAGCTGTTGCGTGTAGCAAATGTAGGAAAACCTCAGCTGGGGGTTCAAGTCGGTTTAATCCCATGTCAGCTTTTTCTTCTTTGTTCTCACCCAAGTCCATTTTTCCTCCAAGTTCCACAGAAGGCTACACGGTTGGTGCTTTCAGCCTCTACTTCAGAACACTTGGTTCTCTCCTGCTGAAACGTAAAGGCAGAGCCATTTGGAGGATCATTCTTAAGAGCGGTGTAGCTTTTGTCTCCATCTAACCCCTGCAATTATCCTGAAGCAATTCAGAACCCAGAAATCACATCGGAAGTTGACTTTAGTCTATCTCATATCTTCTCCTCCAAACAACTGAATTCTGCTTCCAGTGTTTCAGTTGCAGGGAGAAAAGGGTCTTTACTGCAAAAGGTGAGACTTGGGAGAGGCGTGCAGCTCACAGCGGAGCCGCTTACACCATACACACACCAACACCAGCGAGATACACAAGAACAATTCCCTAGAGACGAAAATCGCTGCTTCCTCAGCTTTACCGATACCCATTTTTAGATATTTCTGATGATTCCGGATCGCACTGATCTATTGATATTAGGTGGAACCTACTAACTGTGCACACCGGGCTTTACAGACAGGCTACGTACGGGTGGAGAAAGTCGTTCCGAGGCTCCGCTGGGCTCTCCGAGAGGGCGGCGGGTTGGTTTGGGACGTGCCGACCCCCCCAAGCCCCGTGAGCACCAACCGCGGGGTCCCGCAGGCTGCCGGGGGGTGGGGGCAGGCGGGGACAGACCCCAACGCTCCGCCGCGGCGGTGCCCTGGGCTGCGGCCGCCACCGGGAGTTTTCTGAGAGAAATGAGGTGCGGGGGGTGGGCGCGTCCTTACCCTGCGCAGCGCCGGGGGGCCGCGGGGGGATGCGCCGCACAGGCAGCGGGGGTTGGAGCAGCCTGGCGGGGTGGAAGGA